TAAAAATGTAATAAATGTTGAAATTATATTTTCAATATTAAAAAATTTTAACAAATATCGTGCTTTTAAGTTAAAAACATAATAAATATGGAAACTATATATTTTCAAATTTCTGAAATTTTTATAAAGATTTTGTTTTTAAGAAAAAAAGATAGTAGATGTTGAAAAAAGACCATATTTTTAAGATAAAAAATGTAATAGATGTTAAAATTATATTTTGAAATTCTAAAATTTTAACAAAAAATCACATTTTAAGATTAAAAAAAATAGTGGTTATTAAAACTTTATTTTTGAAATTATGAAATTTTAATAAACTCCACATTTGTAAGATAAAAACATAATAGATGTTAAAACTTTGTTTTCAAATTTTACCAAAGACCACAATTTTATCATAAAAAGCATAATTCTTATTACTGCTCATAATAAAATTAAAATAAAATGCAAAATATATTTAATTAAAATTATTATATATAAAATTTAAAATACATTTATTTAATATTAATACATACAAAATTTGTTACCACTACCTTTTAACCCTTACATTGACCTTACTATGAAGGTTGATCTACGTATTTTCTTTGTATAAAGACAATCAGCGTAAAAATAATAATTGAAATTATAAAATTATTTTTGTTGAAAATATCAAAAAAATAATTTTCAAAATTCTTTATTCAACGAAAACACATATTATAAATATTATATGTTATCAAAAACAATATAGTAAAATATTTTATTAGGTAATCTTATATTTCTCTAAACCATAGACAAAAATCTTATATTCCTTAAATCAACAAAATTTAAAAATCACATATTCTCTTCGATATCACTTTTTTCAAAAATTATTTTTTCTCTCAAAATCTAAAAATATAAGAACCAAACGTCCCTTAACTAGAAAAAGAGAGGTGGAAAAGCAAAAACATAATTTACTAGGTTTTTTTTTTCTTCCCTTCTAACTAATAAGATGCCAGCAGAAGATTTAATTTTTTTTTCTTTTATTAGTTAAAAATGATTAAAAGAAAAAAGAGTCATCAAACTAATGTTATATATAATTCCTTTCTGATTTGAAAATAAAAAGTTATTTCCACGTGTTTAGAAATAAATAATAATAATAATAATAATAATAAGAATAATAATAATAATAATAATAATTCCACATCTTACATCTTGAATTCGAGTTGCTTTGAAGCAGACTTATAATTGGCATAATTGGTATATATATTTATATCATTATCTCCGTGCATACTAAATTTTCACAATTTCTTTAGTCTAGAATAATTGGCATTATAAATGTTTTTTTATTATATATTTCCCACTTATAATTTTTTATTGTCACACTTTAAAATTCCTTGGCTTTTATGATTATTTTATATATTGAACGAACCATTTGGGTGCACTCCATCATACCTTGAAATTTTCTTGCTCATTTTTACTTGTATTATATTTGTATCCATTATAATTCATATGTTAAATATTTTTAGCATTTGAGACATAAATAAACATCAAGCACAAACTAACGCCTATTCCAATTCGTCAAAATATTAAATTATTATATATATTTAAAAATTATTAAATTAAATTACATTACATTAATAAATAAAGATAATTTTCATAAAATATTTTATTCTTAATTTTAGTAATCAAAATTTAATTTCTGATAATTTTAAATATTAATAAAAAAAATTTCAATTCTCCCTTCAAATTTAAACTTGAAAAGCATCAACCGTTGAAATGTTCTATCCAAAAATGATTAAGAGACTATTTTTATAAAAGAAAATGATGTATTGAAGGAAAAACACCAATTAACAATCAGTGCATAAATTGTTAATGCAGCAATCACCTCATAATTTATTAGGATATTGTTTTGGCCATTGGGGTGCTGCTGGCGCAAGCCAACATGCGAGCTAAATTTTGTCGCTGCCTCTCTCTGGTTTCTGAATTTTCTAAGTTAGTAATGTAGAAGTGGGTCCTCGAATACCTTAATAGTTCACCACCGTGCTTAAATGGCACTTCCACGGCCGTCGAACTCAGTCCAATTGCTTTACAGTTTGCACCAACCGCCACCCATATGACAAGATGCGCCAATCGAACCATACGCCACTTAAAACTCTTCAACGGCATTGCACACGTCATTACTCCTACCAAGTTACGGAAATACCCATTACCTATATTTTTTAGTGATTCAAAGTTTTAATATTCATTGCATATTATTTTCGAAAAAGAATGTATATTCATTGCGTAGTAAAAACAATTGTATTAATCGGGATTGGTTTAACGGGCAAGTTTTTTTGTGTTTAAAATTTAGGATCTTAATGTAAAAGTTTTGGATTCGAATTTTGAAAAAGACAATGAATAAAATAAAATCATATATAATCATACAATTTAATATTATATGTTTTAATTTTTAATTTTTTTATTTAACGATTAAAAAAGTTTTAGAAGATAGGTAAGATAAGAATTAGAATCCCATCACCATATCCTCTATTCTCTATTACATGAATTAAAAATATTATATATTTTGAAAATTTTTATTTACCCTTATATTTTATGTGTGAATCTTATTTGTAACAATCGATCTCTTAAACAAATAACCCATGGATTTTGTTCAATTAATAGGGATAAGAATTTTTTTCTTGTCAATCAAAATTTGATTTTTATGAATAGAATTTATATTTAAAATAGTATTAGTGCATAAATCTTATACATTATTAGCGAATTAAATGATGATACATAATTAATAAATAAATATCAATCATTAAAATAAATATATAAAATTGATAATTTAAAAAAAATTTACTCTTTAGTGAAATATTATCATTTGATTCACCACATTAATAAAATATCATCATTTGATTTATTAATAATATATAGAATTTATATACTCATAATGTATCAAATCCAATTGAAGAATAAAATCATGAATAAACCAAATATGCATTAGATCGATGTGGAAATGTATCTTTAAAATCATTTTTAGAAAATATTAAATTCAAACAATATTTAAGTATAGAGTTTATATTTGATATATTATTAGTGTATAAATCTTATACACTATCAATGAATTAGATAATGATGATTTATTAATAAAATGAATCAGATGATAATATTTTATTAATGATTAAATTATTTTAATTTTTATATATTTAATTTTAAGAATTAATATTTACTAATTAATGAGTTATCATCTTTTGATTCATTAATATTATATAAAATTTATATACTGATAATGTATTAAATATAAACCCTTACTATATGCATCCAACTTTGACCATAAAATCGAGAAAAAAAAAATCTGATGGATATTATATGGTTTACTCCTATTATTTGAGAGATTGATAATGTGAAAATGTCACTCGTTAATTTGGTTTAGCAAGTTGTTAGCCTGACGGTGCAAATCCCGTGAAGTGAAGATTCTTAGAAAGAACATCAAGGGAGGTAAAGGAGGCTGATTTAATTATTTTTCAACCACGGCTGCTGAGTGTCCCAACTTGCAAGAAAATGGAGACCTTCACAAATATCTTGTCAACAAATATTAGTGACGGCCAGATAATACGACACAATTTGATTATGATAAATAAACATATTGATGCTTTGCATATTCCAGTTTGTGACACCATTTTGGAAGAAATTAAAACCTCTTTTGAAGACAGTAATCAGAAAAGAAATTTAAAAGGAAGCAAATGATAAAAGTTGGAAGTAGGGTTAACGGTGATTCGTCACATTTCATTTTCGAAAGAGGAATATAAATATTTCTTCAATGGTGGTGTGCGTCGCGACTTGTTTTTGGCATCGTGGTCTTAATTGTTAGTGGAAGTGCTTTTCATTAGTATAATCTTCTAATTATATATCAATTGGCTTTTCATATATTGTTTGATCTTGACTCCGCCACTTTGATAACAGCAAGATTAAAGATGATTTAGACTTTAAATTTAGGGTTTAACCTACCCTTATAATTACGAGTTTGGAAAAGATCCAATCAATTTAAGCATGCAACTAATTCATTTGATTTCACCATATGTGATGTTTTGTACATTCAAAATATATATCATTTGCTTAAAAAAATTTTCTTTAGTCTTTAAATTTCTTTTCTATACGTACAATCGTATATAAAGAAATCTATTTCTATCATGTGTACTGACGTTAAAGTCTTTGATTTAATTTGTTGTCGGGTCAATTGACGTCAGGTAAGTTGAAATAATACCAAATATCTTAAACTGTTATAATAATTATAAAATTAAAAATATTTATGTATTTTCTTATTTTTTATTTTAAAAAATTTACAAAAACTATCTGCTTTACTTTTACATAAAAAGCCTTTTAAACTTCTTTTTATTTAAGAAGTTTAAACATATAAAATAAAAAATCCAAATAGTAGTGTGCCAAATTCTAGTATTATTTATATTATTATATATTATTCTATAATATGAATGATAGATTATTTAAAAATTAAATATACATTGAATTTGGGTTTAGTTTATGAAGTCCTTTACAAGATGAATTCTTGCAAATTGAAGATTTGATCTCCTGTATTTATAAAATTTTTCTTTCTTAATTTTTTTCAAAATTTTGGCATTTTTGTAAAAAAATTAAATATATATTTAAAAACATATACTTTAAAATAACAAATGATTTCAGAACAATAAATTATCCAAGCAAACAAGGTGGGCAATTTACTTTAAAATTAAATGAAATTTAACTAATTAATAAAGTAGAAACTCCAAAAAATTATTTCCTTAAAAAAACAAAAGAAATAAAAAGTCAATGAAAAGTAGAAAAGAAACATGTTATTTAATAATTCCACATATAACATTTGGTATTTTATTAACGCAAAAGCCTAATAACAGACCCATTAGGATTTCGCTACCTAATAATTATTCACAAAAATATATAAATAAAAAAACACCTGAAATAAAAGTTAAGGGCAGTTATGGAAACCCAAAATAAGCAACAAAAATGCAAACCTAATTAAAAGGGCAGTTAAGGAAACCAAAAAATAAAGGGGAAGTCCCAACCTGACCTGAGTCTTTGACAGCGCGAAGCCAACCAAACAAAAGTCTCTCTCTATATAACCAAACTCACCTTCTCAGTAAGCCTTGTAGCACTTACCTTTTAGGCTTCAGCCTCTTTTCTCCACCACCCTAAACCATGCCACCAGGGGTCCCTCAACCCCTGCCACTGCTACAATCATCACCGTCTCCGTCGTCACAAGTTGCCCCCCCACCACCCCCACCACCACTAAAAATCACCCGTACAAAAACACCCACCGGTATTCTTTTAGGTAAGTACCAATTGGGTCGCTTGTTGGGTCGTGGAAGCTTTGCAAAAGTTCACGAGGCAACTTCACTCGAGGACGACAACACCGTTGTGGCGATTAAGATTATAGACAAGACAAAAACTGTTGATGCTGCCATGGAACCGAGAATAATCCGAGAAGTTTCAGCTATGCGCCGTCTTCAACATCACCCAAACATCCTTAAAATCCACGAAGTCATGGCTACAAAGACCAAGATCTACCTTGTTATGGAACTAGCCTCAGGAGGTGAACTTTTCGCCAAGGTGTTACGCCGTGGCCGCTTAACTGAAGCAGCCGCTCGTAGGTACTTTTCCCAGCTCGTCTCCGCCCTCCACTTCTGCCACCAAAACGGTGTCGCCCACCGTGATGTAAAGCCACAAAACCTTTTATTAGACCAAAATGGAAACCTCAAAGTTTCAGACTTTGGTCTCTCAGCTCTTCCAGAACAGCTAAACGACGGGCTTCTACATACAGCTTGTGGAACACCGGCTTATACAGCTCCTGAGGTGGTTAGGAGGAAAGGGTACGATGGTTCCAAGGCGGATGCTTGGTCTTGTGGGGTCATTTTATTTGTTTTGTTGGCAGGTTATTTACCCTTTGATGATAGTAACTTGGTGGCTATGTATAAGAAGATTCATTATAGGGAGTTTCAGTTTCCATCTTGGATATCAAAGCAAGCAAAAGCTATAATATGGCAGCTTTTGGACCCGAATCCTGAAACCAGAATGAGCGTAGTAAAGCTAATGGAAACTTCATGGTTTAAGAGAACTTTAACAGCATTGACATCATCAAACAAGCAACAAGAAAGTTTGTTACATGACAGGAAGTTAAGACATGACATGGTTTGTAACGGAGTTAATGCTTTTGATATAATATCTTTGTCTTCGGGGTTGGATTTGTCAGGGCTTTTTGAAGGAGGGAATAATAAGAGGAAGGAAAAGAGGTATACTACTTCGATGGAGTTGGATGGGGTGATGGAGAGGGTTAGAGAGGTTGGGGAGAGATTGGGGTATAGAGTGGAGAAAGGGAAAAGAGGGGTTGTGGGTTTGGGGAAAGGGAGGGTGGTGTTGGTGGTGGAGGTGGTGGAGATTGCAGAGTTGTTTCTTTTGGTAGAGGTGAAGGTGGTGGAAGGTGGGGTGGAGTTTGAGGAAGGGCAGTGGGTAGATTTGGAAGCTGGCCTTGGAGATATTTTTGTTTCATGGGATAATGCTGCTGTAGGCTGATGGTTTTGCTTGTAAAGTACATGAAATTTTTTTTCCCTTTTTCTTGGTGCATTCTTTAGTGTTATTGGGGTTTCTTTTGGTCTAAATCGATGTAAATGATGAAATTTTAGTGACATATATATTTAGTGATTAATTTAGCAGCTGAATAAAAGTTTCTTTTTGTTAATTTCTTGACAATTTTCCATAAATTTTCCAGAATTTGATGTAGAATTGATTGTTGTGTTTCTATAATTGGAATCAATTCCTGAAGCCCGAGAAAGCTGAATAGAAATTTTGAGGAAAAAAGAGACGTTGATTGCTAATAATGTTCACAAACAGGAAAAAATTGATGTTATTCAAGAACAAAATAAGCTACATGTGAGTTTTGAAAGCTTGATCTTGTTCTTTTGACTGCAGAGTTGATGGTAATCTCTGTATACGGTAGTGATTCTGTTCATAGATCTAGTGTAATAAGCAACCAGGGAGAGATCAGATGGGCGAAATTATCGTTCAGGAACAAATCAAACTAGGGGTTCATGTAAGAAAAACAACATGCTCCTGTAAATCCTGAAAAGTAAATGCGGCTATAGAAGCTACAGAGACTGAGCAAGCAAGCACCGTGATTTTGATTAGCAGCGTCAAGCTATGTGCTAGTGTCACGGGTCGAGACTCAAGCTCCGAATCCACGTGGCTCCGGGACCCGGGCATTCACCTTTCCGGCATCCCAGATCAGCCTTCCCGTCACGGTTCACACCTTTGTGAGGTATTGTCCGCTCTGGCCCCCTTAGTCTCACGGTTTTGTCCTACAAAAGGCACCTCACAAGACGGAGATGGTGTGAACCATTTTATACCCTAGGGACCTTCCTATTATGTTCGATGTGGGATTCAGGACTCCCCCTTAGGTCCGTGACATTCTCCCGCACCCAACCTCGTGACGCCGTCGTCACGGAGGTCGACCACCCTGCCTACCTCCCTCGAGGCGCTCGGCGTGGATCGAACGGTTTAGGGCTGGCTCTGATACCACTTGTCACGGGTCGAGACTCAAGCTCCGAACCCACGCGGCTCCGGGACCCGGGCATTCACCCTTCCGGCGTCCCAGATCAGCCTTCTCGCCACGGTTCACACCCTTGTGAGGTATTGTCCGCTCTGGCCCCTTTGGCCTCACGGTTTTGTTCTACAAAAGGCGCCTCACAAGGCGCAGATGGTGTGAACCCTTTTATATCCCAGGGACCTTCCTATTATGTTCGATGTGAGATTCAGGACTCCCCTTAGGTCCGTGACACTAGGTGCTGCATGTCAAAGATCAAGATTGAGAATCTCTCATGTTAAAGTTTGTCATATACACCTCTGCAATGCCTATCAATTTACAGACTTATTTGAACCGAAGAGTTGCCTATCGAACTTGCAAATTTAAGTCAATAAAATCCTCGCATATGGATGAGATGTGTCTACAACAAAAAATAAATCAACCAAACAAGCTGACTGTCTAATTCCTTCATTCATAATAACACAAGAAAATGCTCAATAAAACTTCCAGCAAAAACAAAGAGTTATATATAAAGGAAACACTATTTGCTCTTCCGGCATCAGCATAAGTTCTTGAACTTCTTGTCCTCAAATAAATATGCAAAATACAACAGCTAAATACATTGTCATGGTTATTGTATCTAATTTAGCCTCTGAGCGATCCATTTGTGAGGCTTTTGATTAAAGTTTTGTCCATCAGGTCGTCTCTAGGCTTCACTGATTTGACAACGAACTCAAACTCCAAAAGTCAGTTGCGAAGAGATAGTCTAAGTATAGTCATCATCATCTTCATCCATTCCAACCACTGAAGAGAGAGCGGCCATCACGCTTGGAAACCACTCTGAGTATCCTTCTTCCTTGTTGTTTGCAGCCTGTTAACAGCCTGCTTCAGAACTCCACATTAATGAGAACAGATCCAAGTGATTTGAATGTACTATCAGGTTGAACACAAGCACTCACCATTTCCTTAGAACTTCTAACTGCCTCCCTGAATCTCCCATCGATGACATACAATCCGAGCACATTATTATAACTCAACAAGTCCGTTAGAAGTCCCAGTTCTCTCATCTGTCTTGCGAAATGAATGGCTTCCTCAAACCTCCCATTTCTTTTATACATGCACAGCATCATTGCATATGTAAATTCATTAGCATCTACCTTTTGCTTTAAGTTCTTGAAAATCGCTTCTACTTGACTAACCATAGAGCATTCACTCTAGAGATCGATCATACAATTTGAAGAATACACATCAGGGTGGAATCCTGACAGCTTATGTAGTTCATAAACTTCCTGTGCTTCTTTCAAATAACCAACTTTGTATAAACCTTAATCAATGAGTTGTATATAACAGCATTTCCAGGCAATCCAGCACTTTTCATTGCTTTAACATAACTGGTAGTTTCTTTAACACTTCCAATATCAGCAAATGTATTTAGCAATACACCAAAGACAACAACATCAGACTCCACCTTATACTGAATCATCTCAGTGTATAGTGCTTCAGCCGTTTCTAGTTCTCCTAATTTCACAAAGGGATGCAATCACTCACAAGTCCTGCTTCCTGCATTTTCTTCAGGTAGCTTTTTGCCACAAGTGGTAAGTCTGGACTAGCCAAAATCTGTATGAGAGAACCATAACTGCATTTGTCTGCAACTACGTTATGAATCGGCATGCTATCAAATAAACATGTTTTATCATAACTCTTCCTTATCCCATAAGCTTTAATCATTACGTTAAACTCAAGGACTGTGAGCCTCTTCCTTTCTTGGCAACAGACAAAAATTTTTTCAACTTCAAAAACATGTCCCCACTCTCCAAAGGTATCAATGTTGGCAGAGTAGCCCTCTGAACTCATATTCCCTACAAGGTGAAACCTCCTGAACTATAACCATGACTTCTCGAGCATCCCAGCTTTTATGCACATTCGGGTCAGAGAAGATTGTGTATATTCATCAATTTCAAGATGTCGTTCATCCATCAGGTGTATGAGGTCTTCAGCTTCACTAACCATTTGCCTTATTGAGTATGCATACAAGAGGGTGTGATAACCCACAAGATCTGGTTCAAGGCAGGCCTCCTTCATCTTTGCAAAATAGCCAGCTGCCATCTTTATATCATCGTGCTTAGCATGGAGGGAGATGAGAATATTATATGTTCTCGTGTCAGGTAGGCACTGAACTTCCTCCATCTTCTTTATCAGTGAAGGCTGTGAAGCCACTTCTTCTAACTGTCCATGGTTACCACAAATGTGAATTATTGTATTAAAAGTAACGGTAGTTGGAACAATCCCTTCTCTAAGCATCATTTCAAACGTTTCAGAAGCCTCTCGAACCTGCCCTGCCTTTCCATATGTATCCATCAAAGTATTATCTGTATACGAGCTTAAATGTGAATCACATCCCACTCCACTGAATGTTTCATTCAATGACCACTTCTTGAAAAACTCCTCACCTTTACAAAACTCACCCGTTTTCTTATACAACTGCACAACGATTCCCATAGTCACCTCATCAGGCTGCACCCCTTGCTTATTCATCTTTCCCAGCCAACAAAGAGCCTGTTGCTTTATCCCACCTTTACTATAAACATCAATCAGAGTACCATAAGTAGAATTAATCGGCTCAATCCCTCTAAAACTCGTCCCATTCCATAACCTCTCAACATCACCCATTTATGAGCTTTACCAAGAACTCTAAATATAATATTATAATCAATTACATTCAACTCATAACACCGTTTTCTCTTAAACCATTCAAAAATCTCTAAAGCTCTTTCCCAACTTGATTGCTCCTTCAGAATTATACTCCTTTCTTTGTCACTTAACTTTTCAGCCCATGGCTTAAATGCCTGGTCCAAATCCTTAACGTTTTCCAAAGCTCCCAAAATCGCTGGAATACAACCTCCATAAGAAGCCCATTTCGTCGAACACTTGGCCTGCATTTCCTCCACCGAAATGTTCCCATCAACCGCACCAAATTCACCTCCTTTAGTCACAAATTTGAGACTTTCCCTTGTTTTTTCTCTCCTTTCTCTAACTGGGTTTTTGTCCAAAGTCTGATTACTTGGCTCAGGTTGATTATCAAGACTTTGGTTTCGAACTCCATTAAATTTCCTGATTCCTCCTCCATTGGGGAGTCCCAAAAAGTCTCTGTCTGTTGTTTTTGGGGATGGCTTCGAGTTTTTCTATTGGAGAAACTGAAACTGAAACTGAAATCGAAAGTGAAGCTCCTGCGATGTTGGCCGGTGAGTTTTTTGTGGAGTATAAAATGTTGAAGCAACTGGTGTCTAGCTGGAATTTTGCAAACGTTTTTTTTTTTTTTTGCTCGGACAAAAATGGTTTTTCGTAAAAATTTAAGTGAAGAATTGAGAATTCTAGTTCCAGAAATTATAATATGTTTCTCTGGGTAATGGGTTTGGACCGGTGCTACCTTGGGTGGGGCAAGATGTCATATGGTGCGGTCGTGTGAGGTCCAGAACTGTTGGATTAGGCATTTGAGTCTGAAGCCGTTAGATTGTCTTTTCAATGTGAATAGAGAAAAAGTTCTTTTGATGCAACCTGATGCAGCTGATTGCCTGTAACTTTAGGATCTACTTGCAACATGCTCCGCTTTCAGGCGGTCGAAAATTTTGTTATTTCTTAATAATATTGAATTTTATTAATTAATAAGTATAATTTCGTTCATAATTTTTGAATAAAAGGAATGATTAGTGAGAATATATCAACCAATTAGTGCATAATATATGCATTTCATTCCAGTAAGTTGTATGATAAATCTAAATACAAATAAAATATTAAAATAAATAATTGAAAAAAACTAAAACTAAAAAAAGAAAAAAAAAAAAGAAGAGCCAAATAGATATATCATGTACACACCTCCACTTAAGATGCTAACGAGTCGGGTAAAAATGGGTTTACGTGCGAAATTGACTTTTGACTTAATATTTAATTATTATTTTTATATTTAATTTTGACTCAATATATATATATATATATATGTATAACTTTTATTTAATTTGACTTGATTAAAAATCAAATCAATTATATAACATTCATGAAATATAATTTTTAATATAAATTTCATCTTAATTATATATAAATATGTATTCTATTAAAAAAATATATTAAATAATAATTTTATTAATATAATATATAAAAATCAAATTGAATAAACAATATATTCTTATATATACTCCAACATGGGACAAAACAAAACACTCTAAAGTGGCCTCTAATTCAATTTCAATATTTAAAATGGAAAAATCATCTTACCTTGATTTTGATTTAAAAAAATTATTTTTATTATATTAGTGGATTGAAACTAATCGGATACATGTTATTTTAACATCTCAATCTCCATTGACTTCATTATATACAAAATTTATTTTATTTAAAAAAATAAATACCAAAAAAATAATAAGAAAAAGAAAAAAAATGAAGGTGCCACATAAACACTTCTATTACTAATATATTTTTTCAAACATAGATAAAAAAATATTAAAATAAATAATTAAAAACATAAAAAGCCAAAATTAGAAAAGAAAAACTAAGCAAAAAAGAAAAAAAGCCAAATTAATGAGTGCCTAATGGGC